AATTACCCAGAGAAAAGGAAAGACATATTTATGTCTTTGTTTCAAACAGCCTTTGGCTGATCCTAAGCTCCTGAGCCTATTGCTGTTACTCTGCATGTCTTACATTCCCCAGGGAACATAATCCCCTTCTCCCATGGGATCCCACTGTGCTCTCCAGAGTCATAAAGCTTTAAACAAGCCTGAGAATGACACAATGCAAAGCAGCACCAATGCTCCCTGGTTTGGGAGAGTCTCCAGAGCAACCACCCCCATGTCCGTGTGTGCATCTGTCCATAGGCAGCAATGGGGTCAGAGGGATCCCCTCAGCCCCTGGGAGTGCAGGAAGAGGAGCAGCTGCCCCCAGACACCCACACAGAAGCCTTTCTGTGCCCAGAATAGCCTCCCTCTCTGACAAGAAAGAGCTCAGGCCTCAAGGACAAATCCCATCTCCATTCCCAGTGGGGTCACGGCCAAGTCAAGGATATTTATGAGCTCATCTATTGAAGGCAAAGACAATCCCTGGTCTTTATCCATCACCAGGAAAAGATTCCAATGGCCTTGAGACAGCTTGTATGGATTTATCCCTCCTAGAGTCTATAGCCTCAGCCTCATGTCTGTCCTTTTGACCCACCCACAACTCCCTTTGTGCTTTGAATCCAACCAAGCACTTTCCCACCAAGAGTTAATATCTGTAATACTACAGATGTTATCTCTGCAGAACCATCCAAAAAATGCTGTTCCAAGTGTAACTTTTTTATTAAGTCCATGTATTTTTTATTAGAGTATAAGAAACAATATGTAACATACACTTCACTTATACTTAGGTTAATAGATATATAAAGGAATCAATGAATCTTTATGCTGCTTATTCCAGTACAATAAAGGTAATACACAGTTACAAATCTCACATATATGTATTAGTAAAATCAACATTGCAGTGGAACCATCTCAGTGAACTCAGATCATCCAACAAAGCTGAAATAAAACATGTCAATATTTTTTCCTGCAACACTTTATCGGTTTATTACATTACCATCAAGTGTTTCAGTTTTGATGACACAGAGATTGGGCTGGAAAAAAAGTGCTCCCTCGGAAAACATTGGACTTGGGAAGCCTATTAAGCCTTTTCGTTCTCAATTTGCACTATCAGAGCAAAACTGGATGAATTCAAACCCTCAATCTGTCTCTGGTGCTGCTGATTCTCTGCTTTGGGTGGAACTATTTGGGTAAAAGTAGCTGTTCCTCCTTGATTTCTGAGACTTGGCCTTCAAAATTCCTCTACCAAGTCTGGCCAATGCCAGTAGATGGCAGGACCAACCCAGGGTTTCGCTTCCCTGGACACCATGGACACTCCCAGAATGCAAAATCAATTGTCTCTATTCCCATTCCAGTTCAGACAGTGGGGAAACAACACCTTCAGGATCAAGGAAGGATTCAGAGCCACCTTTATCCCCCTGCAGCACCACCCAGCTGAGGATCAAGGGAATGGGCTGATGGTAGGCTCCTAAACCTCCAAGCATCCAGATGTGCATCACATCTGCCTTTCCCAGGGAGCATAGATGCCTAGAACTCATTCCATGGAGACACAGACACCACAACCAGATCTACCAGGCTTCCCCCGGGGGAGGTGGGACCATAACTTGATGGCAAACATGGTCCCTGGGAGACAAGTCATGTCAAACAACTCACAACTCAAGTAAATCAACACCAAGCTAAGACATTCTTGGAGAAATCATGTGGATCCTTTGAGTAATGATTAAGCAATTGGCTTCACTTGTCCAGTTTGTGCCAGGAACTCACATCAGCTTTGTGTTTACCAAAAGAAGAAATTTTGCCCTTAAAAAGAAACAACTCTCAAAACCAACTGGAAGAAGTTTTGCTCATTTTGAAGTCCTCCTATGTGGCAAACAGCAAACACCCAAAACCTGGAGGGAAAG